AAAAAAAAGTGAAAAAATTACGAAAATTAGCGATTTTTAAATTTGTAATTTTTTTGGATATTTCCCCCATTTGCGGGGAACAAGGGAATTTTTTTCAATTTTTAAGGGTAATGTCTTCAACTAGATACGATTTGTGATCTTTTGACGTATTTTTGAAAGAAATCGGTCCTATGAGAGCTGAGAAAAAGTGGCAACAGACATAAAAAAAAAAAAAAACACATCATAGTAAAATTAATACCTTCTCCGCTTCGCATCGAAGCTAAAATTGAGAAAATTAGCAATTTTTAAATTTGTAATTTTTTTGGAGGTTTCCCCCATTTACGGGGAACGAGGGAAATTTTTTCAATTTTTGAGGGTAATGCCTTCTACTAGATACGATTTGTGATCTTTTGATGTATCATTGAAAGAAATCGGTTCAGTGAGATCTGAGAAAAGGTGGTAACAGACAAAAAAAAAAAAACACATCATAGTAAAACCAATACCTTCTCAGCTTCGCATCGAAGCTAAAATAAGTAAATAACCATCAAATTATACGTTTTATAATTTTTAAAGATTTCAAATCTCAGTATTGTTTAATTAGATAAAATATATATATATATAATTCTGACCTTTAATCAATTTCTTTTATTAATAAAATGTGACATAATAATTTGTAACTATAGTAATTTTATTTTTTTTTGCGATAATCTTAAGTTGATAATCATTTTTTGATTGTATAAAAAATATAAATAAATTGATAACATTTTTATAATTAAAGTCTAAATGTTCTTTAAATTAATTAAGAGTAATTCAAAATCTATGCAGAATTTGTAAGTAAAAATTACACTTCTATAAAATTTTTGTAAAACCTGTTATCTCTATGTCGGTCATCAGTTGTAATTCAACCCTAGTAATTCGCTCAATAGCGTCAAAGCTCAACCGAGAGGAAGTAATATATGAACAAGGGTCAAACACATAAAAACATTTATAAAATTATGAAAATAACTGCCAAATGACAAATATCAGTTTTAAATATAAATCAGAATACTCCCCAAAGTTAATCAATTAAATTTCTCCCAGTTTTTTTGTGTATAGGCGTAAATCTTGTCTGTAATATGTCACTCATATTTAATATACTACGGAACCAGTATATTTTACGAGATAAAATTATACCTTCAAGCATTTCTTGGAATAATTAAAAATTATTAATAATTTTTATACACATAATTTTTAAAATTATAAAAATTTTATAATTTTTATATACATTTCATTGTTTTTTTTTCTAATATATTTATATATTAAACATATTTTGTATTACCTAACGTTTCAGAAGTAGAAAAAATATGTTAATTTAAATTAATTAGATTTCCTAGAATAAATAATTTTATAAGACTGCATTGAAAAATTTCACTACTATTCCTAATAAAAATATGATGGGTAGAAATTGTGATGAATAATTTTAAGTAGTCATTATATTTCAATTATTACTTTGAAAGTTGAAACATTTTTGTAGAGTACAAAAGTTCTACAAGTGTATTACCGCTGAATTAATTTAAATATTTTTTTATTTATTCTAGCACTTTTTTGCATCTAAGTAAGTAATGTGTATTTTTTATTAAAATTTAATTTAAATTTAGAAACAAGCAATTTTTATCGTCATCAGTAAAAGTTTTTTCGAAGTTGATCGTTAGAGGATTTTGTAACAATAAAGAAATACAACCTGTTAATTATGATAATTTACAAACTTTGCAAGATAGTAATATTTATAATTTTAATTAACTAACAAAATGATTTACCAAAATAGACATAAATAATTTTAAGTGAACATTTTATAGTTAAATCAAAACTAATTAAAATAATGGGTTTGTCTGAAAAATATCAGAAGGAGGAAAGAAGTTGGCTATCAAAATATTTGCCAAATACACGAGAAGATTTGCCTGCTCGTAGTATGAATGTAAATAAAAAAATTATTTTTATCCAAAATTTTATCACGTTTCAGGGATGGTCTCTGTTTAATTTTATGTATTATGTAGTATTACTAATTTTTTAATTATTAATAATTCATTATTGATTTTTAAATCGTATAAACCTCAATTAAGTTTATGGTTTAGGTTACCATACAAAATATGTAAGATACTATATCTTAAACTTATTCTTAACTTAACCATTTATACTGATCCAAATAATTATAAAACTATAAATTTATAATCCATAGAGTTCTGTTGTGACTATTTTTTTTTATTTACAAAAAACAATCTGTACAATAGAATAAGTACAATAAGTTTTTTTTATATCAAATGTACATGGCTTATTTAAAATTAGCATACAAGGAAGTCACTCTGTTAGTTAAATATAATTTTTGTTAGCGGTTTGATGTTATTAGGTCACGATTCCAGTTACGTTTAAGTCTGCGTGTAGAATTGTCAGAGAAGTCGGTAGTGCACATACGTTTAATAAGGGGGTTTGTATTAAACTTCAGTTTATAGTGGAATCGTATGTAGTGTAATTTAGAAAGTTCGTTAATTGTTTTAATTTTTAAGTCGTTATGTAGGTTGTTGTTCGTTATGTACCAAGGGACATTGGTTAACATTCGGAGTGCTATGTTCTGGAACGCCTGAATTGGGCGTATATTTGACGGCTTTACAGGACCCCAGATTTGTATTCCATAAGACCAAATTGATCTTATAATAGTTTTGAAAATCAACATTTTTGTGTTTAATTGGAGTTTAGATTTAAGTAGAGGGCGGAAGATATGAAGTCTAGCATTAGCTTTTTTTCGTTTGTCCTTGAGGTGGGGGCCCTATGTTAATCGCTTATTTAGAATGATACCTAGGTATTTTGTTTCCTCCTGAGGAGAAATTATGGTATTGTTAATTTTGACGGGTGGACATATTCCAGGTCGAAGAGCGAAAGTGACATGATTTGACTCATTTATTTTTATCTTCCAATTTCTAAACCATGACTCTATACAATTCACATGCGCTTGAAGGTGATAAGCTGCATCATTGATATTGTTGTGGGTTGAAAGTACCAAATTAAAATTAATTGGAAAGGTGCGAGATCACTACCTTGAGGAACTCCAGCTTCAATTGTGTAATAAGGTGAATTAGCACAGCCTTGACGAACCGTAAATTTTCTTTCTTGTTAGTAAGAATTAATAATTAAGTATAATGGCGCTGGTAGGATTTTTTTTAACTTATAGAGCAAACCATTATGCCAGACACTATCAAACGCCTGGCCAACTTCTAGAAACAGTCCGGTGCAGTACTGTTCGTTTTCTAGGGCTGATGCAATGGTGTCGGTCAATCTGTGCACTTGATGAATTGTTGAGTGCTTCTCTCTAAATCCAAACTATGTATTAGGTATGATATTGTTTTCTTTTAAAATAGGCCGAATTCTTTTAAGAAGTAATTTTTTCGAATTACTTACCTAAAGTAGGTAGCAAACTGATGGAAAGGTAGACGTCACCATGTTTTTTGGTTTACCTGGCTTTGGTACAAGGATAACCACTGCTACTTTCCAGATAGGAGGAAAATAAGACAATCAAAGCATAGTGTTATAAATGTATGTTGGAAGCAGTATGATTTTTTTTGACAGATTTATTAGTATCTTGTTGGTGATGAGGTCGATTCCAGGAGCTTTGCCTTTAGGTAGTATTTAATAGTAGCTTCAATTTCACCGGGGCTTAGAGGTTTGACGGGGATAGCCATCGGTAGAGGAAAAGCAAGAAAATTATCGACTATATGTATGTGACTTGAATCAGGTTTAATATCATGGAGTGGTTTGAATGTTTTGGCTAGGTGTTCAGCAAATAGCTCTGCCTTTTCATGATCTGATACAGCTAATGAACCATCTTCTTTATGGAGAGGAGGGATTCGTTCTTTGATCTTGGTTAGTCGTTTTGTGGCTTTCCACAGAGAGTTATCCATAGGGTTAAGTGAGGTTAGGTATCTTTCATATTGCTCAGACTTAAACTTTTTTAGTTGTTTTTTTAAGTTATTAGCTAACTTGTTATAAATGTGATTATAGAAGTCATAATGTGTGTTTTGCCATTTTGCCCTAGCGCGTCTTTTTTCATTGATTAATGATTTTATATGCAGAGGGAGTTCTTTATTTACAGCGCTTTTTGGTGGATTTGTACTAGGTGATGCTGCATTGGCAGAGTCTTTTATCAACTGGATGAAGTTATGGGTAGATTGGTCAATGTCTATTCGTGTTTTCAGTGAAATATTAAGGTTAATATCGTTATCCATATAAATTTTTAATTTTTCCCAGTAGATGGGTCCATTTGTAAGGGATGGCCTGGAGGGGACCAATACTTCACCTCCAGTATGACTGGTGAGTGGTCACCAGAAAGGTCGCTAATATTTTCTATATTTGTGTTTATCTAATTAGATATTTTTGATATAAAAAAATCCAATATGTCAGGATGATTATTGGCATGGATTGGCCAGTACGTTGGTCCAGAAGGAGAGATATATGAATAGTGTTGATTGGTTAAGACCGAGTTGTTTTTGAGTAGAGTCATTATTAATCATTATTTAGGAGAATTTTGTTTATTACTGTTGTTAATAGTGTTATTAAAGGATTGATTATGGATTTAAGGTCTGTTATGAATAAGGAGAGTTTATTTATTTAGCTAACGCCAATCGGTAATTTACAAAGATACTTATATAGATACTATGAAAAAAAAAATTTTTAATTTAAAGATTAATTATGATAATAACAGAATTATTTTCATTTATAATATATACAAAGAATAACACTAAAATAAGCAGTACATGTTTGTGCAATTTTAAACAAAATATGAAATTATGATTTATTTTAAGTATTCGATGGATGGGATGGTTGTTGGAATAATTATTATGATGGGAAGGGATAAGGTAAAGAGTATGTTTCCTGGTAAAGTGTACAGGTACTCGGAATGATTGAGGAAAGGAGGTCAGGGGCATCAATTGCGCCACTAAGAATAGAAGAAATAAATGTAAGATCAGCGTTTAATCGGTGAGAGGAAAAGGAAGGGATATATATGGATTCTCTAATGTCAGCCGTAGTGTTGTTCCAACATAAGGTGGAAGGTAATTTGTTGTGTTGGCTTAAAATTTTAAAATGTTTCCAAAAGGAGGAGGGATTGTGAGTAAGCGATTGTTGTGTATATTTTATATAGGACTGATAGTCTGTTTTAGATAAACGTTTGCATTTCGCACGAAGTTCAGAGAAAACTAAGTAGTCATTTGGCAACTTAGACCGTTTAAAAATTGCATGGGCACGTTTTTTCTCTAGAATAAGATTTTTAAGTGTAGAGGAAATTTGTATGTTTTAGTAGGAACAAACAACTCAATTGCATGAAGTAAGGCTTCATTGAAAATAGAGGCAGCACCGTCAATTGAATATTGTGAAAAGGTCACCTCAAAGTTAAATGAGTTGACGAATTGCGAAATAGCGGAGTAATTCGCAACTTTGAAGTCTTTGAAAGTATGGGTGTTATCTGCTATATTTTCAGTTAGGAAAGGAAATATGATGTGAAGAGGTGGATGAAATGGGTCAGGAATGACAAGTGATTCAAATGCAGCTCTAGCAGTGACTATTGGAGTTACAGAAAATAAGATCTAAAATACTGCCATGACTATTGGGGAGGAGGTTATGCTGAAAGAAATTTAAGTAACAAAAGGAATCAATGATAGTTGTTGACACAATATTGTGATTATCAGTCGCAATTAACCCAAGCTCGTCAGATGACTATGTAACATTAGGGAGATTGTAGTCTCCACATAGGATAATAGAATGAGGTTTATACGAGGATATAATTTTCTCAACACAGGTAACGTGGGATTGTACTATTGGAAGAGGTGTATGAGGAGGTAAGTATACACAACATACTAACAGATGATAAGAGTTAACAGTTAAATAGGCTCGACATTCGAGGTACTTAATGTAATAGGATGGAATTTGAGTGAATTTTTGATGGCGATTAGTACTCCACCTCCTCTGTTAAAAGGGCTGTTGTTTGGATTTCTATCAAGTCTTATCACCTGAAAGCAAAAAAAAAACTAAGTTCACTGTTGCTAATGTCTGGTGTCAACCAAGCTTCTGTAAGGATAATAACATCATAAAAGTAGAACAATGGAAAGGAACACCTAAGATTGTCTAATTTAGTTTTGAGGCCACATACATTTTGATAAAATATTTTTTAGGTTAAGGGCATCACTACATAAATTATTGCTTATAAAATTAGGAATAAAATCAAATTTAGAAAATGAAGTTTTAAAGTTATTAAAATACAAAATAAAAGAATTTAAAGTTTTTTGAGCTGAATAACAGTGCGTACAGTAGGTAAGGAGGTTTGGAAAGCATGGACAAAAATGTAAGCAGTCTTTCGAAGCAGTGGGCTCTTGTCTCAGCAGTAGTAAGTCATAACTTGCTAGTTTTTTTACTGGACTAGTGCAGCGTTCAAAGTATGATGACGTCTAGTCTGGGACGACCAATGGAGTGGAACAATAAATGGGAATCCATCTCTATAGTTGATAGTTAGGTTAGTTTCACCGTTCTTTTTACGACTTTCCAATTCGGTGTATACGAGACGGATAAACTCTCGTTCAAGAGGAGTGCGATCGCGGGTCATCGAGATAGAGCGAAGCATGTTGTCGGAATTTTTTTTAATTAGTTCACAAAAGTTTAAATAATTTAACTCAGATTTAATGAATATGGGAGGTGGCTTATGAATAATTGGTTCGGTTGTGAGCCCCGTTTCAATTTCCTCGTCATTCGTTTGTAACGGACTATACAGGTTTGACAATTTCCTAAAGTTATTATTACATGGGCCGTGTTTAGATATTGGTGATGAACCAGGCGATTGAGTATGAGGTCTTTTGTTCGATGATGACAATGCTGTAATCCACTCGTCATCAGAATCGGCAGCGTTATCGGGTTTATTTGTTTCGCTTTTGTTAACTATCTGGATACGATTAATAATAGTAATAGGCGTTATCGCGGTATTGGCCGTTTGAGATGACGGCGGCGTCTTATTGCGGTTAGACATTTTGCGGCAGTTAAGTTTATTATAATTCTTACCTTGATCCCGAAGGATCACACGGTGTTGTGAGTTTTATGCAGTAAACGATCTCTGTAATGCGGACTTTCGAACAGTATAAGATTGAAAAAAAAAACACAAGGTTTGACGTAGTTTTAGATATAATAATAGCGGGAGCATAACACGAGACATGTACTCTATGGCAGCTGAAGGCTATATATTGTGACTATTTAACAAATTTATATGGTGTACAGTAATTTTTATTATACTATATTTATACTAATAATCGTAATACATTTAACTTTACAATATGCTTTAATATTCATTTGCACCTAGTGAAAAATAGATTAAATTAGATAATATTTAATTTGAATAGATAGTATTTTAAGTATAATGTACTTAGTTAATGACATGTTAAGAAATATATTATAATTCGTTTCAAATTTTAGAGATTTAAAAAAAATTTATATATTTCAAAGTTTTAATTATTATTTTTGTAATTATTTTTAACTAATATATTCGAGGAAAATGAATTTTAACGAAAAAAACGGTAGCACAGTGGGGTCGCGGCATAGTGGAGACATTGCATAGTTGGGTTCAGTATAGATTTAATCTGACAGTGATTAAAATCACTATCATAAGAAACGCTTCGATGCAAATCTGTAGATAGTGTTTAATTTTAAAAAATTGATGGATAATTGCAAAAGCAACATCAACTTCTATTAAAATAAAATACAAAACCCATAATTATCATACAAAAATAGTATATTTTTCAATATGGTA